TTTATATGTAAATAAATATCTTCTTGTGTATATATATGTTACATTTTTTAACAAGTACAATTTTAGAACAGGAGAAAGGAATTGAACCAATCTCATAAGACTGATGATACACACCGTTAACCAATTAGCATATAAAGTTAAGTGTGTGTATATATATATATATATTTGTTACATATACATTCCTATATATTAGAATTGCATTGTTTTAATGATGATATATCAAGATCAAAAAAGCAATTGATGATATATCAAATCTGAAACCTACAGAGTACTTATTATACAAAAAATATTGTATAATTTATATTATTTTAACGAAAAAGTGCGCATCAATCCTACCTCCCAAAAAAAATTGGAGTCCCAAATCAAAACGACGTTGTTTCTCTTAAGTTTGCCTCTACTGTTTTTCGCCCCTTTCTGGAATCACATCCGTTTCCATCTCCTACTCCTGGCCGGATTCCTTCCCCGCCTGCGCCCGCCGCAATCTCCACTATTTCCTTGCCAGCTACTCCTTCGTCGTGGCCGCCGCTTGCGCCCTATCCCTCCTCATCGCCCCGTTCTCTCTCGCCCTCCTCTCCGTCATCATTGCGCTCTGGATCCTCCTCTACTTGTTCAAAGAAGACCCTTTGGTGTTGTGGGGCCATAGCATAAGCGATCGGTGGGTGTGGCGGTTGTTTTCTTGTTTTTCGTTTTTGTTTCCTCCCATTTCTTGAAATTCCTTCTTACTTTTTGGCATCGCATGGTAGATGAGATCGAAATTTGCCTTTTTTAGGTCGGTATAGATGTGGTATAGATGTGCTGAGATCAGTTTTTGTTCTAGGCTCTGGTAGCTCTTAATTGAGTGCTTTGTGCGGCATGGTGGAGAATTTGGTCATCAGGTTCGGCGTTGGATGCTTAGTTTGTGGGGTTCACGCAGTTTTCAGGAACTTTGATGGACTGCACTTAGAAGAGAATGATGCTGTTTGCTATGGTTTGGTACGTTGTTCTGGATCTTCAAGTTAGGATATTAATTCATATTTCTTTTTTTTTTTTTGGAGTGTGGCTTTGTTGATTTTATAAAAGGAAAGGAGGATCAATTTGGTGCGTGTGCTGCTGCTGAATTTCCAAGTATATTGTTGAAGATTGTGTAGAATTAATTGGAAGGCACTTGCTTGCAAGGTTTTTTTTTTTTTTTTTTTTTTTAAGAAGTCTTTCGCTGCTTTGTGAATTGAAAAAGTGTGGCTTTGTGAATTGCAGCGGTAGAATGGGGTGAAAATAGTGGGTGTTGGGGATTAAGTCGGCGGCGTGGAGTTGTGTTTGCGAAATTGAAGGATTTGGAGGAGTCGAGGAGGTGAGGGAGATGGAGATGATTCCAGAAGGCTCGGAGGAGTTGAGGAGGCGAGGGAGATAGAAATGGAGGTGATTCCAGAAAGGAACGAAAAATAGTAGAGGCAGAGTGAAGAGAAACGACGTCGTTTTAATTTGGGACTTCAATTTTTTTTGAGAGGTAGGACTGATGCCCACTTTCCCGTTATTTTAAACTATATAATTTTTTAACTATTAAACAAAAATGAACCGGATCTTCAAATTTAATAATTAGTCCTTAAACTCTAAATGATTGGGTGTCAACTGTTGGGAGTTTGACTCCCTTGAAAAAAAATTCCTTATCTCTTAAATTCTTCAATGTTTGAAAAAAAAAAAAACTATTAAATAAAAATAAACTTCCGATATTAGTACTTCTTACTCCATTTTTTTTTTTTAACATTTTTGTCATGGGACCGGTCGAATCGTTGTCCTAGGGGAGAGGATATAAACCTTACAAACGTGACTAGAGCTACTTGACCCGAAGGACCAAGTTATCTTACTCCATCTTCTTGATTTGCTCTTCGACCCAAAAAGGAATTCTAAAGTCATAAACTCTTGTCATCAGCTTAGGATGTATTTATTGACGAAACTGTTACTTTGTGTGAAAAAATTTTGATTTTTTTAAATAAAATTTTAAATTTAAATTTTGTGAATAGAGAAATGAATGTTATAAAAGTTTTTTTTAATAGGGTTTGATGTGATTAAATTTTAAATTAATCAAGATTTAATACGATTATTGGATATCAAAAAGTTAATATTAAAAAAAAACTTAAGATATATTTAGAATTACTGTAAAATATTGTAATTGTAATTATAATTATAACTGTAATTATATTATATTATAATTATAATTAAAAATTATTTTAATATTTAATTATTTATTTTTTAAAAATGTTATTAATGAAATATAATATATTTTTATTAATTATTAATTAAAAATTTAAAAATATTATAAAATATATCATTATTAAAATAAATAATATTTAGAATAAGGAAAAACAACCCTGATGAGACGGTGCCGTATAAGGCGGGTTCGATCGAATTTTTATTTTAATTTTCTAAAATATGGTGAAAATTTGAAATCTTAACACGAACGCCTGTGCTAGGGCTTCTCATTCCTCATTTCTCCGCATACTCGGAAGCGTAGAACCAACGAACTACCGAATAACCAAAGAGGAGCTTTTCCGCCGGCATCAATGGCAACCACCAGTCAGGAGAAGCAGCAAGTTCACCAGCCCAAGCAAGCTCAGGACCCGAAGAAACTGGAGAAGCGAAAGCCAGTGTTCATCAAAGTGGATCAGTTAAAGCCAGGAACCAACGGCCACACCCTCATCGCCAAGGTCTTGTCCTCTGAAATGGTTCTGCAGAAAGGCCGGGCCGCCTCTCAACACCTCCGCCAAACTCGCATCGCCGAGTGCCTCGTCGGCGACGAGACTGGAACCATCCTTTTCACTGCTCGCAACGATCAAGGTCCGTTCCTCCGCATTTTGTGTTAATCTTTAACTTTTGCGACACCGATGAGTCTATATGTTCGGAATTTGCTTCTGAAACGTATTGTCGTGGTTAGTCACTATGTGTTTCGCTGATCTGATCTTTTTGATTTCAAAAGCATCATTTCACTGCATTCTTGTCCTACTATGTGATCCTGTGATGTTGGATGCGATGCTGTTTGGTTCAATTTTGATGCAAATGAGATTGTTTTGTGATAAGAGGCGTTTCCAGTTCTCGATTTTGGCTGTTTTGATTTGCCGAGATCATTTTGTGTTTTGTTTGTGTTTTCCCCTTTTTGAAGCTAAGTGCAAGCAGCATTGATTCAATAGGCGAAATCTTTTATCAAAACATAATCTTTTGTTAAAGAAACAGTGATGTGTTGAAGAATTAGATTGCAGGGATCTTGATCTAGGACCTTACTTTGTAATTAATATTGTTAGTTCTACTGGAATCTACTTCCAGTTTGTAATGTGTGGACTTGGTTACAGGAATCAAATTTCGTGACTTGTAGTTTCATCATTGATCAATGTACCTATTACAAGTGCATTCATCTCATTTTTTCCCTTGTGTTGCTGCCATCGAAATTGTGTTACTTTCATTCCAGACATAATCCTGGATACGGCATGTTAAAGATGCTGAAGCATTTCTAATCACATAAAACCAGTGTAAATTTCCTTTTTCGCATATGGGTTTCTTTGGTTCATGTCCTTAAGTAAATTAGATGACCATGGCAGGTTGTGTCCTGTCTATACTATTGTGGTGCCATTAGATGATACTATAATGTGAAATCGTTTGCTAAGAAAACCGACACCAAGACTCTACTCTTTTTCCTTTTTCTTTTTCTTTAATTTCATGAATGCCTGTTTTGTCTTATATCTAATTCAATGCCATGTTTGTATCATCTCCATAGATTGCAGTGCGACTCTAACGCTGTCATCCAATTTAATGATAATGCTGGTGCCTGTTTGTTATGCAGTTGATTTAATGAAGCCAGACACTACTGTAATTCTTCGAAATGCAAAGATTGATATGTTTAAGGGCTCGATGAGGCTGGCTGTTGACAGATGGGGTCGCATTGAGGTCACCGATCCAGCTAACTTCATAGTTAAAGAGGATAACAATCTGTCCCTTGTTGAGTATGAGTTGGTTAATGTGATGGATGAATGATAGAGATCGTGCATGGACCTCAGCTGATTTGATGATAGATTTATGAAGTTAAGTGACCGTATGATCTACTCTATCCTGCCCATGAGATGTTATTAAACTACAATTCTCATGGTGAAAGTTTGGGTTCTGGTATACAAATCTTGCTGATTGTTTGGTTGTTCTGCTTTCTACAGTGTTTAACATCTAGTTGGATAAGTTGTATTGGATGGGGTATAAGAACAGCTGCTTTTCCTGATAAAATTCTGTTTGGATATTTCAAAGTGTTGATAGTAAAATCTTTCTACCTTTAGTCTTTTGCATCTTCTTATTCGATCCCAATATTTGATATGATGGATTGATCGGTTACTTCTTTGTCATCTTCATCGGATATTTTGCTTCAAATTCAAGATGGAAAAATAACATTTCGAGTTTTCAGTTCTAGTATACATCTTGGTACTCTTGTTTTCATTTTGGTATATGATTAAAGTGTTGTTAAATCATGGCAGATGAATAAATTTTAGCATCAACCTAGTTTTGAAATTTGAATCATGATATAATTTGGAGCTCAACACAATAGATGTAATTTGAAGTATCTTCCTGGTTGGTGGAGATGGTGATGAGCCTGCGGCAGATATCTGCCCCAAAGTCTCCTCCGCAGGGTCTTTACCGGCGTTAAGAGGAGAGTGGAGGGTATGCCATTGACGTTAGCGAAGTTGGCATAGCTTGGTAGGTGCTCTTTGCAGAGTAACACAGCTCCTCTAACTGAGTAATGGTAAAAATGGGGATAAAAAAGGACATACCACTCTGGAAGAAGCCAGAGATGTGTAAAGAGAAAATTCCACAGCACCAAAACAAGCACCTTCATTTCCTATCAACGATTATCGTTTATTGATTTAGCAACAAAAGAAAAAAAAAAATTGTCGAAAACCATGTATATGATGATTAACCTGTGAAATCTTTCTTTATAGTACATGTTATTTAACTGTGAAAACCTAATTACCAACTCTCAGATGATCTCAAAACAAGATTTGAATAGGATTGAAATTCCAGATTCTACCAAGTAGATAAAATGCTTCTGAGTCTTACAAAGTCCATTCAAAATTCATGGAGATGAAGATGAACAATGCACTGCATCCCAACCACAATCATCCATCTACAATAAAAGAACAATTGTATGCAGAGAATTAGAAATATACTCTTGTTTACATATAACAAGATCAAAGGCAACACAGAATCACAGATAATCTCCAAAAGCAAGCTTGATCATAACCACACTGATCAGGAACCTAAACCAAACAGCCCAAGTCAAAAGAGGAAAAAGGGAAAATGGAAACAATACAGTAGCAGCACCGCAATGCAATGAGTAAAGTCAAGAATTTTGGATACCTAATATAACAAAGGTATAAGCACTTCGTTATTCTAAAATGACCTAGAGAATTTGATGCCAGAAATTAGACGAGTGAAGTAGAAAAAGAGAGGTGGAGTTAGGAAAGCTCACACTATCAAATATTGACAACAGAAACATTAACTTTATGGACAAATTCTTATCATATAGCATCAATAGAGAGAAAATGGCAGACATTCTTGATGGGATTCCATTTGGACAGACTCTAATGCTGAACTCACTGTTCTTCACTTCATGCAGCTAAAAGTCTAACACAATCAAGACTAACTTACTCATTCTATCATTTTGTCCACTGCAACAGTCTTATTATTCATAGCTAAGCTAATCTCCAAAAGCAGGCTTGACCATAACAACAGTGATATATGAACTCAGACCAAACAGCACATTCAAATTACAAACCATTCAAAAGCAAACATTTATAACTTTTATTATTTTCAACTTGTTGCACAATAAGAATGTAGTTGAATTGACTTGCAAAATTTATGAGTAGACAAAAAGCATCTCAAGTCCCTAATACAAAGCTTTATTTCAATTTCACCACCTTGTCATAGAGCGTATGTATGAAAAACTTTGCCCGAACCCTCTGACATTCATCATACATCATCATTGCAATCTGAGTGAAACAAGAAATCAATATGGACCTTAGAAACTTATACTTGCATGAGTAAACTTATACTTGCATGAGTAGGAATGGGAAAGAAAGGAAGATGCACTTCAAGCTAAGTCTAAGCAGAATAAGATAATATATTTCCGCATTGCCATTCAATGCCTCAATGTGCATATTGGCAGAAACTCATCAAAGATCTAACTCTCTGAAATGAGTAAAAACTGCAAGAGTCAAACGTGCTCATGCAATAAAATTACTAATTGAAAAGGAAACAGAAAAAATCTTATGCATAAAGAAACAAACTTTACAAGATAATATGCATCGTTAAGAGTCTTCCTTTTCTGATCCATAAAGAACATAAACTGAAAAAAATCTTGTCTGGAGGTTCAATAAAAAGGAAATACAACATTTCACTTTGTTTCAGGAGTTTTTAAAGTAGGAAGCAGAATAACTATAAGAATTTATTAAAAACTGGAAAAAACTTAATTGGTTATTTCTAAGTCCACACTACAAGATATGGTGCTCAACCTCTCATCCTTTTAACACTAATTTGGAAAGAGAATCTTCTCAATTAAACAATTGAAGAGAACATTCAGCAATAGTTTCAAAGTATCAGGATAGAAACTAATGCAATTCACTTGCTCATTTTGCTTGATCTTCATCTAGTCTTGTCTTGCCCTACAAAAGGAAAAGAATTCCTTCATTTTATGCAAGACAAAGGAGCCACAATTACCTATCTGAAAAGAAATAGGAGCAATGGTGCCAAAATAAGCATTTGACCATTTGACTTTTGCTTATAAGTGGTTGAGACTTATCTATATCACTCTACTGTGGCCATCATATTTCAACAAGACTATGTTGACCTTCAAAATAAACTGGATGCGAAAGTACCATCTTCTTCTGAGCATAAATCTCAGACAGCTCGCTTTAGGATTACTAAGCAAATAACTCTATTGACGACTCATGTAATAATCAACAAATTCCTCATTGGTATTTAACCTAAAATATGTTCTCTACTTCAGGTAAGAAAAAAAACCATTAAGTAACATGTAAAAATGCATTTCAACCATCATTTTCAAATAAATTCCAAAATATAAATTTGGGGCATCACAAAATTGAATTTTTATTCATATTCTAACATGGTTTTTATGGCTAATATCTGCGGCTGTTTTAACGACCATGCAGCTACCTCTCATTAACTTAAAAATTAAATTGAAAGTGGAAACTCTGATTTTACTTCTGCAAGATAAGACTAAATGCCTCAAAATTTAGAACAGACAGAAGATTCAAACCCAAGCATTGTATCACACCAAATAGGCAAAAAGCAGACACAAAACTACTAATTGAATTGCATTAAATATGTGATATGGAGAAGAGGGAGATACCTTCAGGGGTCCAGCCGGAGCTCCGGCGAGAGACTGAAAGCATGGACGTGAGCAAAGCGGAAGCAGTTGCAGTGTGATAAGGCAGCATCGTTTCCACACAGGAGCTCATCTCCACAGGCGACCTTTTTCAGTAGTTCAATTCATGAGCTAAGAAGACACTATATATTCATCAACTAAGCTGAGAAAGATTGATGCTTGCTACCTGAAAATGCGATTAGAGAGCGGTGACTGCTTGGAGATTCCGAAAGCGGAGCGGCAGGGTCGCGGCACAGTCTTGGGGCCGGCGTTTAGCCTAGCGGCAGCTGCGGTTGCTCGGGAAGCCGCTGAGCGGAGGACGGATCTGGCGGCGGACATTTTAAGATCAGTATAGATACCGTCTTGCCCTGAGTTGAGGTTTTAGTTTGGGGTTTGAGGTTTTAAGACTTTCCCAAAGTTTTGCGTAGGGATGGAAATGTGAACAGGTAAAAGTTAGAGACCCAATCTCAACTAACCAAAAGTATTAAGGAACATTTGTGAATTATAATAAAAATTATTATTTTTATTTCAATTAAATTAGGGATAACAAACAATGGAGAAACCCCAATACACCCCTCACGTGTTTCACCATATGCCAATAAACACCTAAAAAATGAAAAGTCCATATAAGCCCCTCAACTTTGTCACCACAAAACAACCCCGTTATTATTTAAAGGTTTTCTTGTTTTGATACTTAATTCGCACTTAGATTGTTAAATATGTATTATTAGATGAGGGAGGCTGAAAGATTGCCTAATATTAACAATTGATTATATAAATTATTGCATGCTAACTTTACAAGTCTAGCAATTGATTGGAAATTAATAATTAATAATTTATATAAAACTTATATATAGATATGACTAATTAGAAGGTTCTAGATTATAGATGAACAAAGGGTGTGTGTGTGCTTTTTTGTTTTTTGGTCGGTTCATTACCATCAGAGACTTTTCAAGATCTAAAACAAAGCAATGAAGAATGAATCCCAAAAATGGACTGAAATTATAATGGACTAAAGTTGAATGAATCACTGATTTCTGGATGAAAAAGAGGAACAGCTTCAGAACAAACTAGTGGAAGAAGTTTATTTTTCTATTGGTATGCTACACATTGAAATAAGATGAATCAAATAGATGGCTCCATGGAGAGGAGATCATCAAACGTCAAACTGCTTGACCTTGCTCTTGCTTCGGTTGATTTTCACCAAAACGCCTAGCAGAAGAGGAATGCAAATCCCTTGAGACATATCCACACTTTGCTCCTTGGAAACATCTTTGCAGGTACCTCTAACAGGTTTCCTGCTGTGTTCTTCAATAGGGAGGGAGTTTGGAAGGTACAATGTTCCTCTTCCTCCATCACGGTGTCTGAATCCAATCAGTCTCCCCAGCGACACACTGTTATCCTGGAAGAATGATGCTGTGGACTGGATCTCTCAATGCAAGTAACATCATCAGACATGTCAAAGGACAATATTAGATAATAATGGAGAAGAGAAGAAATGTGGCAATAATTGAAGCTGCAATAGATGCAATAATGTAAGCTTGACCGTTGCTGCCCATCTGATGCAAAAGGTAATAAGAAAGGTACACAATTTTGACATCTTGCACACGGCAAGTAGTGATACATTACTTCATTCTTGAAACATTATGAAAAATTGATTCCATTTTGCATTTTTTCTGTACCAATATACCAGTAAGTGCACAATTGCATTTTTCATATTAAGGCTGGAGGATGATTCCAGACAGGAAATGGTGAAAACAGAAAGGGGGTTGATTGAATTACCTCGGTATCAAGATTGGAGGATGAGAATGAGGAGAAACTGCTCGAGGGCACATGGAAAGAGAATGGGTGAACTGCTGGAGCAGACTGTACAGTTTCAGTTACTCGGAGCCTCATGCTCATAACCTCAAGCCCAAGTGGCCAGCCATTAGACGTTCCATGTTCCTGAAAGGAGTCATCAATGCAGTATGGTATATGCATTTACACTATTCAACAGCTCAGAATCCATTGATTAACCACATTAATCAATTCAGAAGGAAAACAAATCAAAGAAATGAAAAACCATAGACATTTTGATTCTGGGGCAAAAATCAAACTAGAATACAGCAGCAGAGGTTGTCCAATGTCAATCCTACATTATCCACATTGTTGAGTGCTGAGACATACTAAATTTTTATCTGTCAAAATCGAATTAGGAAGAAGATTTTATGTTTTTTCGACTTTAGGAGATTAAACAGGACTTTGAATCCTACCTGACTAATGGATCAGAAAACAGAATTCTAAGAAAGATGATATTTACTGTCAAAAGCTGCATATTATTAGTACTATTCATTTCCCATCCCCTATATCATTAGAGAGATTTTCTTCCTCTGTTTTAATCCTTCTCTCTCTTTTCATTCATTGTTGTGAAGTAATATGATCAAAAGCCATCATCATTGACCTAACCTGACCTATCCAAGCCTGCAGTCCTACTACTTAGGCCCTCTATTGGGAAAACACTAGGTTTCCTATCAGAAACACAAAATGAAATTGTCATCTAGACTTTGCTAATGTTGTTAATGCTAAAACAAAAACTTTCTTTTGAATGATTTAGTTCTAATGGACTGTCGGTGGAAACAAAGATCAGAATTTTCAGACCTTATCTGTTCTTAACCATGGAAGGATGAAAAATATATCAAACACCTATTGATTCAAAAGAAGACATCTTCATGAATCTACCAAATTAAGAAAATCTATCACTCTAATCAGAAATACAGACATTTACGCATGTAAATAGTGGGCATTAAACCATAAGCCAGAAACTCCCACTTCTAGAACAAACAGAATATCAAGAGGAGAGAAACAACCAAAATGGAAAAATCCCAGAAACAAAGACTTCATTGAAACAACAACAATGGAAGCACAACAGGATCGAGTTCATGAAACTAGAGCAGAATCAACAGATGAAGAATCAAATTCAAGAATGTCTATTACCTGAGTAGCCATGGTAGGTATACTGCTTTCTGCTACAGATGCGTGTTGGTGAAGATCATAAAGCTAAAAGCTTTCCACAAAAATACAAACAAAACAAAACACCCAATAAGTATGCAGTTGTTCCCGGAAAGGATGGAGAAATCGTTTTGGTTCTTCTTCTAAAATTCTCAATTAAACTTGAAATAATTAATGTATTGGGTCCCACATGGGTGTTCAGCTTTGCAAATCACATGAACAGGTTTGCAAGTACTTTTGGATTAAAATTTATTAACCATATGATAATCACAGCCATTCAGAAACAATTGTAACACTTTAACCGCCAACTTACCGCCAGTTTTAAAATCTCTGTCGCGGGCCAATGCATATGTTAATCATTCACGTTATGATATACCATCGATTAAGAGTTTGAATAAAGTTTTGAATTGAAGTATTGAAATTATGAAAAAAAAAGAAAAAAAATGATACTTATCTGAAATTTTTTTAAAAATAAGTATAATTTTTAAGAAAAAAATGAAGAATTTAAATTTAGTTTTTGAAATTAAAAAATACAGCTTGAACCTAACAACATATAAAGTTCGAGTGCAATACCCACTTTAATATATATAATAATGCATTCTTTTGTTGTGATTCATTGGTGGCTACTGCAACCCAACAAGCTGTCGGTGGATTATACCCCTAATCAGTATTTGAATTTTGTCCAAAACAGACACTAACCTAACTTCTAATAATTTCTTCTATAAAAAAAAAAATATGTATAATAATGAAATAAATAAATAATATTTTAATGATTTAATAAATATCATTTTTGTATTAGAGATTTTTTATATACATCTAAAAGTAGAGGAGTGCTAGGGACACTCGCCTTCTGCACTCTCCGACCAACACTTTCGCTTTTATTGGGCCACGTTAGTCTCGTACGTAAGAGGTTGCCATTCAAAGCTGAAGCAAGCTTACGTGGCCCAATGAAAGGCCGGAGAGTGCAAGAGGCGAGTGCCCCTAGCACTGCTCTTAAAAGTATGATAAGCAAATCACACCACGACATTCAAATAAAAAAAAAAAAAACATAAAAATAAATAAATAAAGTAACGGAGGATGAGTGATCCAATTGCAATGTTATCAACTTCAATTATCACACACATCCAATCCATGGAATTACCCAGTTTATTTATGTATCAAGATAAGACAGCTGAGAATCTGAGATTGTGTGTGCCATCTGTCAGAAAATGATGGATTGA